CAGGCGGGCCAGGCCGGGGGGCTCCTGCCCTCGCGGGGCTTCTCCGCAAATGGCTCTGCTCAGCTGTCAGGCGGCATCTTTCAGCTGCTAAAGTTGTGGGTTCTCTTGGGTTTTTATTTTGGTGGTGTTTTTTTTTTTTCTAATCTGCATGTGGTTTCAGTGGGGAAATGTGACTGTATTTGGGGTTTCACTTCAAACTGGTTTTGTCTGCCCCATCCCCCGGGAGAAACAACAGATAGTGTTGGTATTGGGGTGATGCCTTAGGCCCCCGGGCATGGACTGTTTAACCTATTATACCTCATCCTTGGCAAGCAATCCACAGCTAATGTTCAGTTAAAAAGAAGGTCCTTTGTGTGGACCATTTCCGAACAGTCTTCAGGATTGAGGCGATCATTAATGTTACTTCTGTAGCATATCCGTGCAGTCGTATTGCACGGTATAGTTGACTTTATGGCTGCTCTTAGACCACTGCTTGTCCATGTTCGTACGAAGCTTACTAGGATTCTCTTTCCTCAGTGGACTCAAAATTAACCTGGCTTTCTGACACCCTATGGGTATCTTTATTAAGAATACCTTATCATGTTTGAAAGTGCATGTTTTACATAAAAAGCAGGTTTTTATGAACTGTTTGTCTGACAAGGGAGTGTTTCAAATGCCTTGTGATCGAGTTAGTAAATCACTCTGTCATTGCAGGTGTGCACATTGCTTTAAAGTCTTTGAATAAGAATTCTTGTTCTCCAGATTTGAATTGCACAAAAGTATACAGAATCAGAGTAAGAAGTCTAAATTCAGTCAGAACAGACGAAACGAGTTTCATCTGGAAAAAAAAAAATTTAGGTGGTTGATAACCAGTACTGTTCTAGGAGCTATAGAAGAGAGCGTATCCGTTATTTTGTTGCCTTCCAGAAATCATTCCTGGAATTTGAAGACTAAAATAATTTAGGTCTTAATTCGAGGCTATACAAGGCAATAAAGAAGTTACAATGTTTCAGAGTATGTAGGATGGATGAAGTGAGAAACCATGTAGTAAAAAACTTTGAGAGCAGGGTAAAATGGTGTTCAGAGTCCACCTGTATCATACTCTTGTGGTGCCCCAGTATGCCGGTGGTAAAAGTTTGTGCTTCTGTAGTAATATCCAAGAAATAATGATTGGTTGTTTTTACCTTTTTGTAGAGGCTTTGAGGTTTTTATGAGAATAAAGTAGATTAATTATTCGGATCTGTATGTTTTTAGAATATGATAGGTAAACTGTAAAAGTACTAGAGACCAAACTTTTGCCCATTTTTTTAATTTTTTGTCTTGATGTCTGGTGAATTGGGAAGCAGCATTGTTTGCCAAATGTTGGTTTGGGGTTTTTTAAATTGTTGCGTATTTTTCAAAATCAGATTGAGTGACTATAGTTGCTGTGGCCTAGAGTTGGTGGCAAGACCTGAGTAAGATCTGACATTGCTGTTTTTCCTTTGAAAGCCACTGGTGCTGAGGCAGAGCTTGCTGTTACTGCAAAAGTCTCCATCTGGCAGATGAGGCAGACTGGTGTCTTAGGGGAGGTGGGGGTCTGTGTTCACAGCC